TAAACTATATAACTGAGATACGTTACTTTTGAAAGTATACAAAATTATGTGTTGGTATTTTTATTCTATCTCTCCAGCGATTGTGGAAGATATTATAAATACGATGTGTTGATATTTTATTTCTTTTACTGTCTTTTTTTTTACTTCTTAGTTGGGATCAATGATTAGAGATTCACAATTTGAGACTTATGGTATATACATGAGGGTTTTCTTGTTTGGATTATTTCGCTCGACGTACCGGTCTCGTGTTATGGATTTCTAATTATTGGTTTCATTAGATTGTCTTTTCTTAGTTCGGTATTAATGTTTAGATATCTACAATTTGAGACTTATGGTATATACATGAGGGTTTCCTTGTTTGGATTATTTCGCTCGACGTACTACGTCTCGTGTTGTAGGTTTCTAAATATTAATCCTACTTAGATACGGGAAAAATGAATCTAGGTAGACTCTGCTTAATAGATAGAGCATTCACTCCATCTAGTAGCCCTTTCCCTGGGGGCGGATGAAGGTAATCTTGCTGTAGCGCTCTGACGCTCTTGTTGTTATTTCTTTTTCTTTTAAAAATACATTTTCAGGTAGTTCGGAGTTTCGGAGAGCCGCAGGGTGACGGAGTTCTGGTATAGTCGCTGTCGCGTATTTTTTTACTTGTAGAGACTCCACTGTAATTTTGAGTTTTATCTAGACATTAGAGTTTCATATTCATATTGTAAAGGCAGTGTGCCTTAGTACGATTCTTAATTGATTCATGTTGAGATATTTTTATTATTCAGATATCAGATGTATTATAGTTGAGGCATGATTCTTTTCATTTATGAGATATCTCTTCTATATCATGTCTATTACATTTATTCCCTTTATTTTGCATGTTTATACCTGCACTTCTATTTGGTTCTACTAGAGGATATTACTGTGATTGGTGAAACATGTTTATGCACAGTGTGGGTGCATGGCAGGTTTGACATCTCTTGTTTCATCTTGGACTGCAGCCTTGTGTGAACCCAGGGGCGTCACAGTATAGACATATAAATATATATTTATACTCTTATATGTATTTATACTATTATATAAATATACTTATATATGTACATATAAGTTTATGTTTATATATGTGTATATATATATATAAATATACTTATATATGTATAATATATGTGTATATATATTTGTACTTGTAATTTATGTCATTTCAATTAATTAAAAAATTTATTTCATTTTTTGTAATTTTTATGTATATTTTATGCTTTATTATTTTTTAAATTTAAAAAAATTAAAAATAAAAAAAACCCGGGCCGGCCCGGAGCCCGGCCCGGTCGAGCCCGGGCCCGGGGTACCCGGGTCCGGGCTCCGGTTTTGCTCGGCCCGGGCCCGGATTTTCGGGCCGGGCCGGGCCGGATGGACATGTCTAGGAGGCTTCCATCTTAAGTTAAGGGTTGATTTTTGGTGTTTGTCATCTTGTAGTACCATAGCTGTCAAAATAGAATGAAAGAAATTTTAAGTTTTTATAAACCAATAAAACTGCAGATAACATAAAATAGATGAAGGAGAAGCAACAAATGTTTGTCATACTTTTTTCTTTCTAACTTTCAAAACTCTTTGTTCAACTTCAGTCTAAATAGCTAACATTCACACTTAAAAGTTAACTTTCACTATTACATGTTAACATTCAGGCGTACATGTTAACTATCACATGTTAATGTTAGCTTTCATGCATAAATGTTAAGTTGCATGTTAACATGTTAATTGTCACCATATTCTATTAACTTTCAATTTTGTACATGTTTTTTTGATGCATGTTAACTTTATCATAGTTATCAAAACTGCTAATAACAAAAATAAAAAGCAAACCATATGAACATACAACTTACATGAATGAGTGACATACATCCAGGTACGTATGTAACCCCTGACTTTCTCATTCATTCCACAGTAATTTGAATGTCTCTCTTCATCTCATCAAAAATAAATTTACCATGCACAATATTTTTTTACTCAATGCTATTCACATATTGAAACAACAGCCTTGAGATGCCTTGTGAGCTGTTAGGGCACCAAATCATTGCACACTGGTACAAAATCTAAAGCAGCACAAAATCCTCAATTTCCTTCTTTGAGGTTGACTCAACAAGTGTCTCCGGTTACTCTTTAACATATCTCTACATGCTACCAGCTTCTTCTTTATCTTTGCCCTTTGCCTTTGCCTTTACCTTGGCCTTTACCTTGGCCTTTATCATTTCTTTTTTCTCTTCAAAGTACTCTCTCCACAGTCGGTTGTGTGGGTCTCTATTTCCATAAATCAACTCCCATCAATTGGGAATCATGTATGATTTTGTACCCACTGCTCATCAAATTTGACTAAAAACATCTACCCGATTTTGGAATCGGGGAAAGAGAATTCATCTTTTTTGCCAACATAATGACTTAGCACATGCTCTAGTGCTGGTCGATCATGTGCTGGAGGTCCAAACAAGACGTAGTGCTCAAAGTTACTGCCCTTGTAGGCATCCTAGTGCCACTTCTTCATTCTTGGTTGAAGGTTTTTCGTGAACACATAGTATGATCCAAAACATGTTGCAGGCCTGATATCACCTACAGCTACATCAATTTTTCTGTATAAATAAATATTTATTTTTAACAAATCATTCAAATTCTTGATATCCATTAAACTAATTAACATCAATGACAAATATTAACATTAAAGGTTAAAACTTAACAACCTTTGTGATAGTTAACACTTACGGATGAACGTTAACAACAATCAATAAAACTTAACATCTGTTCATACAAGTTAACATTCGTTTATGAACTTTAATATCTAATGATGAAACATGTATGTGTAAAAGTAAACATCAGTTATTTACTTTTTTCATGTAATGCTATCACTTAAACAAAAAATTGATGTACTGACTATACTTCTCAATATATAATATATGACAAATTCAATTACAAATATTCACATATTTTTCATAATTGTTGGGTGTGATTGTATATTGTAATTCATATGCTATGATTATACTTCTTAATATATATTACATGATAATATAACAAAATGAACTAAATTCCAAACAATGAGTCTATATGTCATACTATAGGTCTACACTTCATACATAATAATTTCACTCAGATTAAGACAAAAATTCTACGAATAAGGTCCACGTTTTATCCACTTTTATTATCAACAAACTGAATATCAAACTTTAATAGTTATGACCTTAGCCTAGTAACAAATGATTACTGTTAACATGAATTGGAAATAGTTAACAGTTAAGACATTAACTTAGTAAAGGACAAATTTTTAAAAACCACCGTTTTTCGAAATTAATAAGTAAAATCGACCGTTTAAAACAAAAATTAGCAAAATCGACCCTGCACGTGCAGTTCTCCCAAAATAAACCTCCAAACTCACCGCTTCGCTCTCTCTCCTCCTCCTCCTCTCCTCCTTATCGCCCGACGCCCTCTTCTACCTCCAGCTACTCCTCCGTCGAAAACCTCTCCCGCCTCCTCAAGCCTCCAAGCTGTCCCATTCACCGGAGACGCACTCCGTCGAAAACCTCTCCCTTCCCGCCCTCTTCTACCTCCCGCAACTTACTGGAGAGGTGGGGTTGAGGCGATTTGGTGGTGGCGGTTGTTAGGGATGATGAGAGAGAAGAAGAGATCGGTGAGGGTTTGATTGGGGAAGGTTGGGGTTTTAGAGAGAGAGGGGGTGATGAGGAGCTTGGGGATGTGTTTGAGAGGGCGGTTGAAGGGGGAAGATGTGGGTTTGTTAGGGAGGAGGTTATTTGCAGAAAGAAGAGAGCTTCTTCTTCTGTTTACAGGTTTTTTCTAGAGAGGAAGGGGGAAGACCGGAGGTTGAGTAGCGGGAGGTAGAAGAGATAGAGGAGGAGAGAGTGCGATTTTGGGAGAACTGTACGGGACTACTAGTCCCGTACAGTTCATAAATTGCAAAACCGACTCTTTTTACTGAAAAAGGTCCGAATTTGCTAATTTTTGTTTTAAACGGTCGATTTTACTTATTAACTTTAAAAAACGGTCGTTTTTAAAAATTTGTCCCTTAGTAAAAGTCAAGATTTATTAACATGCGTGGCTAATAATTGTCACTTAAGGCTAAAAGTTAACAACAAACAATGATTATTGACATGCATTGCTAATAGTTAATAACAAATGAAAATTATTGACATGCATTTCTTCAAAACGATTATAATTGATATTGTTGAGATCATACTCCCAAATTAAGAAACTGGTTCTACACTACAATAACCAGTTTTTCATCACCATTTTTTCATAAACCGAACTCATAAATCTCAATGGCGTTTCAAACAAATAAACTGTTAACTTTCTTCCTTTTTTTCTCGTTCATATTTTCAACTAACATCCAACACCATAATTTTACAAATTACTTATAATAAAATTTAATTAAATTCAAAATCACTCAATTGATTAGGAAATTACTTCTTCTTAGAGATGTGCCATTTAACTTAAATTTTTAGAAAATTTTAACGGATTTAATAGACGTTTGAGTGAAATTTAGGGTTTCGAATTTGGATTCTCGAGATGATGGTGGTTTGAGCGAGAGAAGAGAGAGATAGAGGACAAACAAGTTTTGGGGGGAATGTGTTAATAATAGTTTTAGGTTTTGATAAATAGTTTCTCTCTGTACTGAGTTAGAAATGTAAATAAGGACTAAAACATAATTATTTTATGCATTTGAAGCTTTCTTACACAAAAAATAATACAAGAAGGCCGGTCACAACCATTTTTTTTTTTTGGGCCTAGACGCATATTTCCCATTCCATTTTTAGCAAAAAATAAAGTGTTAAGAAAAAGAATCATCTCCCCAGAAAATCCGTACGCATCGCTCCGCAATCCCGTGAAACAAATCTCAACCGTTGGATTAAAAAAGCGTTCTCACATTCAACGGTTGAGATTTTTTCGTACTTAAAACTAAATTGGATTTAAGTTTCCATTAGGAGTCCGGAGTCATCGGCCTCTATAAAAAGTACGCTGGGATTCTGCGCACTCTCTCACACTCTCTTCGAGGTATAGGAATTTTACCTTTATTTTTGTGTTTTTATTGTTTATATTTTCGCTGATTTTTCAAAACCCTAATTGACCTTTTACCTTTGCAGCTTGAGCTTTGAGTAAGATCGATCTTGATATTAAGGTAAATATCTTTAAATTTCAAGAATTGATTTTGCGATTTTCTAAATGATTTGTTTTGATCTCTTGTTGGCATCTAAGTATTGTCAATTTTTTGTTGATTTACCTAACATTATTGTTGTCATTGGATCAAAATTCTCAGTTTGATTTTGTTTTCTGAAATTAGTTGTCTCAGAAAGCTCCCCTGAATTAGTTGTTAATTTTTATTATTATTATTTTTTTAATTTGGTAGGAGTTAGTGAATTTTTGCATACTTGGCATGTCTTTTTATTACGGAGGCCTAGGTTTTGGGAGAATGGGAATTTTTCCCCCTGAAAACCATGATGTATCACAAAATGACTTTCATTTTTTATTCTGAAGGTAATTCTAAGATTTGGGGTATTTAACTCATTGTGTTAGAATTGGGGTAAACTAGCAAGTATCTGGATACGAGGGTAAATTTTCAAATTTGATGATTTCAGGATACATAGGTGAAAAACCCTATATTTTTCTGATGATTTCAGGATACATAGGTGAATTAGTGTATTCGTAGTTTTGTTTATGTTCTGATTTTACTTTTCCTTCTTGTGAGGTTCTCTTGAACAAACTGCACAGCTTAATTTTGTTCTCTCATCTATGGGCGTCTCTTGGAATTAAGACAGATAATATTTTAGCTTATGGAACTCTATAGTCGCTGTCCACGCTTCCTTGATTAATTTTGTGCACTATTGTTAGAAAGTTTATAATTGCCTTTTCCCCCTCTTTAGCATACTATATGATGATTGAGATGATCATCTTTTAATAGGTCATCTTCAGTTAAACTATATATACGGCAAGAGTTCAGAATTATATTTTCATTAGCCACTATATTTAGAATTACAAGCATGAGTTTGTCAGTGAAGGATACATACAGTTTTTTTTTTGGTTAATTCAAGTTGTGGAATACAGATAGGTCTATGAACCTTGATATTCTATAAGAAAATTTCCAGCAAACCTGTGATACTGGCAGCTGGTTAAGTCATTGACAGGTAAATTTGTCAACACCATGGAAATTACCTGTACTTCTAATTGAAGTACAAGTTAATGCTAGGGCCAATATTGCTCTTTGGATTCTGTTATTGATTGCAAAACTATCATAAGATATATCAATAAAGTTAAGAATAATAAACAGTGTGAATTCATTGTTGAAAATTCCTTGTAGACATGCATGTTATGGTATGCAAATGCTGAATGGTGAAGGCCAAAGAACAAGACAATCACCAGCTTGTTTGCATTATACTTGGGTTCTTCATTTGTCTCAGTGCTATATGTAATTTGTAAATTAAATGTTTCTGTGTTTATTTTTCTCGATTGAAAACCATACCTATCAGGAAATCAGGATTGCATTGCATATCACATAATAGAACCTTTTTTATATTATATATTCGGCCACACAAGTTAGAGTTTAATTGTGCAGCGCATAATCCATTTTGTATTGTTCTGTGTGAACAATTTAATTGTGGAATGCAAAATCCATTTTGTATCAGTGTAGATAAGTCTTTTATAACATATCTAAAGTTCTAAACTGATATGGAATTTAACCATATTCCACATTCAGTTCTTTATATTGAATTGAAATACTAATTTAAACCAAAGTATGCTAATACTAGTATCTTTCTGGCTGCTGGCTGGTGTGGACCAACAGGTTATACAAATTATTCCAAGGGTTCGTGATGATCAGTTCATCTGTTTTTTTTATCAAGTAGGCAGTCTTATTCTTTGGATTAAAAAATTGAGAGTTGGAAAACATAAATTAAATTTCTACAAATACAAAAGTCTTCGTGATGGAATTATAACAGAGTACTTTATAATATATTTCTACACTGGTAAGAAATATAAACACACTCCAGTTCCACTGCACTTGTATTGAAAATCACGCATTCAGTGTAGGATAGGTGCAAGTTAATCTCGTCTGATGTGGACCAAGAGGATGCCCACGTAATTCCTACAAATACAAAATGTCTACAAATACAAATGTCTGCTAATGGCTGATCTGGACCAAAAGGATGCCCATATAATTCCCCATGATGAGCAGATCAGCTGTGTACATGAAATATTTATGACTTGTTAATGTAAAAGCTGAGATCTAAACATAAAAAAAAACCGAATCTGAAATATTCAATGATCATATGGAAACGTACGTGGTATGATTTCCTAACCAGAAATCAAAATAACAATTTAAGCTTAAGTAGATCTGAACTACACTCGTCTGAGTCAAGTCTGCTGTAGACCTGAACGATATCCAAATCCAGTTTCATAGATTCGTAGGGAAAAAAGGGTTTCTTCATGTTACACGATTGGTTACATTTCAAAAGTCTAAATATCAGAAGGCTTCATTAGTTTCTTTTTCTAACTTAAGGTTTTATTCTTCTTGGATCTCTTTCAAGTTTCATGTTCATATGAGTCTACATCACATGTACACAAAAATAGTGATTCTTGTTAAGATGTATTGTCATACATGACTACTAAGCACTAGAAATATACATATTTCTGGGCTGCATTGTCAAGCACACTATTTTTATTCATATTTGTACGTACATACATCACATGTATAAGAAAATAGTAATTCTTGTTAAGATGTTTGGTCATTACATGACTACATTATTTTTATGCCTTTTGGGTTCTTGTGGCAGGAGCCCATGAGTGCAAGAAAAGGGGGAGGCAACAGCTTCTTCGCAGGGAATGCTGGTGGAAGTAGTAAGGGAAAAGGTATTGATCAGCTTAACCATGACATGGCGAAAGTCAGCATGGATCCTACACAGGAGGGTGAGTGGGAGGTAAAAGGGAAGAAATCGAAAAATCGTGGTGGTGCTCAAAAAATGTCAGGAGGTCCAGCACCTGCTCCAAATGCTTGGGGTGCAAATGGTGGATATGGGAGAGCATCTGGTAATAATTGGCCTCAGACTGGTAATGTTGGAGCTGGTAGGGCTGCTGGAAATAGTTGGGCTAATGCCGGTAATAATAGCAGTCCAGCTAGGGGCCCTGGAAATTGGGCTCAGGCTGTTGGAAGGCCAGCTGGCAGGGGATACTCAAAACCCCAACCTGCACCGAGAACTTGGGAGTCTACTTATATGGCACCACCACCTCCCAATGTGCCTCCACCTCTACATAATGGTTGGAACTGGGGAGCAAGAACTGGTGCCTCTGGTTCGCAAGTCAAGGATGACGAGTCCTCTAACCATCCTCAGGATGGATATGATTCTGAATCTGATATGGCTCGTGATGAACATGATGTTGTATCTGATGACGACGAGTTACTAGAAGACAGTGATGATGATCTAAGTGATGAGTATGATTCAGATGTGAGTCAAAAGAGCCATGAGACCCGAAAGAATAATAAGTGGTTTAAGGGATTCTTTGAAGCTTTAGATAAACTGACGATTGAAGAAATAAGTGAACCAACAAGGCAGTGGCATTGCCCAGCATGTCAGAAGGGTCCTGGGGCCATTGACTGGTACAGAGGTCTCCAGCCTTTGATGACGCATGCCAAGACCAAAGGTGCTAAAAGAGCTCAGCTTCATCGTGAGCTGGCTAAACTTTTAGATGAAGAGCTTCGACGGAAAGGGACATCTATAATACCTTCTGGGGAAGCATTTGGTAAATGGAGGGGCCTTCGTGAAACAACAACTGATCATGAGATTGTTTGGCCCCCGATGGTTGTTGTGATGAACACATTACTTGAAATAGATGATAATGAAAAGGTATGATTACTTTAATTCATAGGGTGTTAACATATGTCTCCATTTTAATGAAATTACATTTTTCTTCATAATTGATTATATTTCGTGCCACGTCCATTTTTTCAACTAATTTCATCTATATATCCTGCTAATAAATCTCTAACAGAGATCAACAGGAAATGATGAACCATCTTTGCATAAAAAAAGAGAAATTAAATCAGATTCTGTTGTTAACATTATCCCCCCTCTCCCCCACCCATGATTGATTGTGTGTTTCAATGCAAACAGACATCGCTGAGTGTCATGCATGAAATATCATTTAAGTGTTTTGGAAAAGGTGATTTCCATCAAGCTCTCTTTCCAAACAGAAAAGCTAGTATATATAGAAGGAGAATTGTTGTGGCGTCTGTCAAGACTATTTTACAGTACTTTACCTTTGCGCAAACTAATCAAGAACCCCTATTCAAACCATTGTCTTCACACCTAACTTCATAGTGATATGGTTAAACCAAAAAAAAAGGTCCTACTTCCATTGATCTTTGCAATCCAGATTGAACCTTAGAAAGGGAAAGATGAAAGATTAAAGAATAACAGAATGAAAATAACGAATGAGGTAGAGAAAAGAGAGGGAACATAGAAAAAAAGGAAAAAGCAAACAGGAGAAGGTAAAAT